ATCCAGACCTACAATTTGTCGATGAAATGAAAGTATTGAGATTAGTATTGGAAAATTTATTTTTTTCAGACTATATATTGAAACTTTGCAGAAAAGAGACAAGTTTGTGCTTGCTGCTCTTCAGACTAAAATGCTTAGGGTTCCATCAGACTAAAATGCTTAGGGTTCCATCAGACTAAAATGCTTAGGGTTCCTTTCTTAGGGTATCAACTGGATAGCTGACTTCCTTAAAAATTGTCAGTTCTTCACAGAACATTGCTACATGGGAATTGAATTAAGAAGAGCATATTGGTTGTATAAGTAAATTTGCAGATGATAGCAACATTGTCCTACCTGGAACTCAAAATGGAGATCACCTCGATCAGGCCTTGTGAATCTCTCTGAGATTGGTGCAGAACTAATGACTTTATTATCAATGAAGGAAAGTCAAAAGTCATGACCATTTAAATTAGAAATAACAATATACCGCCCGTGTTCCATCCAGACCTACAAGTTGTCGATGAAATGAAAGTATTGAGACTAGTATTGGATGAAAATTTATCTTTTTCAGACTATATATTGAAACTTTGCAGAAAAGAGACAAGTTTGTGCTTTCTGCTCTTCAGACTAAAATGCTTAGGGTTCCATCAGACTAAAATGCTTAGGGTTCCTTGCTTAGGGTATCAACTGGATAGCTGACTTCCTTAAAAATCGTCAGTTCTTCACAGAACATTGCTACATGGGATTTCAATTAAGAAGAGCATATTGGTTGTATAACTAAATTTGCAGATGATAGCAACATTGTCCTATCTAGAACTCAAAAGGAGATCACCTCGATCAGGCCTAGTTAATCTCTCTGAGATTGGCGCAGAACTAATGACTTTATTATCAATGAAGGAAAGTCAAAAGTCATGACCATATAATTTAGAAAGAACAATATTCCGCCCGTGGTCCATCTAGACCTACAATTTGTCGATGAAATGAAAGTATTGAGATTAGTATTGGATGAAAATTTATCTTTTTCAGACTATATATTGAAACTTTGCAGAAAAGAGACAAGTTTGTGCTTTCTGCTCTTCAGACTAAAATGCTTAGGGTTCCATCAGACTAAAATGCTTAGGGTTCCATCAGACTAAAATGCTTAGGGTTCCTTGCTTAGGGTATCAATTGGATAGCTGACTTCCTTAAAAATCGTCAGTTCTTCACAGAACATTGCTACATGGGATTTCAATTAAGAAGAGCATATTGGTTGTATAACTAAATTTGCAGATGATAGCAACATTGTCCTATCTAGAACTCAAAAGGAGATCACCTCGATCAGGCCTAGTTAATCTCTCTGAGATTGGTGCAGAACTAATGACTTTATTATCAATGAAAGAAAGTCAAAAGTCATGACCATATAATTTAGAAAGAACAAAATACCGCCCGTGGTCCATCCAGACCTACAATTTGTCGATGGAATGAAAGTATTGAGATTAGTATTGGATGAAAATTTATCTTTTTCAGACTTTATATTGAAACTTTGCAGAAAAGAGACAAGTTTGTGCTTGCTGCTCTTCAGACTAAAATGCTTAGAGTTCCATCAGACTAAAATGCTTAGGGTTCCTTTCTTAGGGTATCAACTGGATACTGACTTCCTTAAAAATTGTCAGTTCTTCACAGAACATTGCTACATGGGATTTGAATTAAGAAGAGCATATTGGTTGTATAACTAAATTTGCAGATGATAGTAACATTGTCCTACCTGGAACTCAAAATGGAGATCACCTCGATCAGGCCTTGTTAATCTCTCTGAGATTGGTGCAGAACTAATGACTTTATTATCAATGAAGGAAAGTCAAAAGTCATGACCATATAATTTAGAAAGAACAAAATACCGCCCGTGGTCCATCCAGACCTACAATTTGTCGATGGAATGAAAGTATTGAGATTAGTATTGGATGAAAATTTATCTTTTTCAGACTTTATATTGAAACTTTGCAGAAAAGAGACAAGTTTGTGCTTGCTGCTCTTCAGACTAAAATGCTTAGAGTTCCATCAGACTAAAATGCTTAGGGTTCCTTTCTTAGGGTATCAACTGGATACTGACTTCCTTAAAAATCGTCAGTTCTTCACAGAACATTGCTACATGGGATTTGAATTAAGAAGAGCATATTGGTTGTATAACTAAATTTGCAGATGATAGTAACATTGTCCTACCTGGAACTCAAAATGGAGATCACCTCGATCAGGCCTTGTTAATCTCTCTGAGATTGGTGCAGAACTAATGACTTTATTATCAATGAAAGAAAGTCAAAAGTCATGACCATATAATTTAGAAAGAACAAAATACCGCCCGTGGTCCATCCAGACCTACAATTTGTCGATGGAATGAAAGTATTGAGATTAGTATTGGATGAAAATTTATCTTTTTCAGACTTTATATTGAAACTTTGCAGAAAAGAGACAAGTTTGTGCTTGCTGCTCTTCAGACTAAAATGCTTAGAGTTCCATCAGACTAAAATGCTTAGGGTTCCTTTCTTAGGGTATCAACTGGATACTGACTTCCTTAAAAATCGTCAGTTCTTCACAGAACATTGCTACATGGGATTTGAATTAAGAAGAGCATATTGGTTGTATAACTAAATTTGCAGATGATAGTAACATTGTCCTACCTGGAACTCAAAATGGAGATCACCTCGATCAGGCCTTGTTAATCTCTCTGAGATTGGTGCAGAACTAATGACTTTATTATCAATGAAGGAAAGTCAAAAGTCATGACCATATAAATTAGAAATAACAATATACCGCCCGTGTTCCATCCAGACCTACAAGTTGTCGATGAAATGAAAGTATTGAGATTAGTATTGGATGAAAATTTATCTTTTTCAGACTATATATTGAAACTTTGCAGGAAAAAGACAAGTTTGTGCTTTCTGCTCTTCAGACTAAAATGCTTAGAGTTCCATCAGACTAAAATGCTTAGGGTTCCTTTCTTAGGGTATCAACTGGATACTGACTTCCTTAAAAATCGTCAGTTCTTCACAGAACATTGCTACATGGGATTTGAATTAAGAAGAGCATATTGGTTGTATAACTAAATTTGCAGATGATAGTAACATTGTCCTACCTGGAACTCAAAATGGAGATCACCTCGATCAGGCCTTGTTAATCTCTCTGAGATTGGTGCAGAACTAATGACTTTATTATCAATGAAAGAAAGTCAAAAGTCATGACCATATAATTTAGAAAGAACAAAATACCGCCCGTGGTCCATCCAGACCTACAATTTGTCGATGGAATGAAAGTATTGAGATTAGTATTGGATGAAAATTTATCTTTTTCAGACTTTATATTGAAACTTTGCAGAAAAGAGACAAGTTTGTGCTTGCTGCTCTTCAGACTAAAATGCTTAGAGTTCCATCAGACTAAAATGCTTAGGGTTCCTTTCTTAGGGTATCAACTGGATACTGACTTCCTTAAAAATCGTCAGTTCTTCACAGAACATTGCTACATGGGATTTGAATTAAGAAGAGCATATTGGTTGTATAACTAAATTTGCAGATGATAGTAACATTGTCCTACCTGGAACTCAAAATGGAGATCACCTCGATCAGGCCTTGTTAATCTCTCTGAGATTGGTGCAGAACTAATGACTTTATTATCAATGAAGGAAAGTCAAAAGTCATGACCATATAAATTAGAAATAACAATATACCGCCCGTGTTCCATCCAGACCTACAAGTTGTCGATGAAATGAAAGTATTGAGATTAGTATTGGATGAAAATTTATCTTTTTCAGACTATATATTGAAACTTTGCAGGAAAAAGACAAGTTTGTGCTTTCTGCTCTTCAGACTAAAATGCTTAGAGTTCCATCAGACTAAAATGCTTAGGGTTCCTTTCTTAGGGTATCAACTGGATAGCTGACTTCCTTAAAAATCGTCAGTTCTTCACAGAACATTGCTACATGGGATTTCAATTAAGAGTATATTGGTTGTAGAACTAAATTTGCAGATGATAGCAACATTTTCCTACCTGGAACTCAAAATGGAGATCACCTCGATCAGGCCTTGTTAATCTCTCTGAGATTGGTGCAGAACTAATGACTTTATTATCAATGAAGGAAAGTCAAAAGTCATGACCATATAATTTAGAAATAACAATATACCGCCCGTGGTCCATCCACACCTACAAGTTGTCGATGAAATGAAAGTATTGAGACTACTATTGGATGCAAATTTTTTTTTTCACCTTATATATATTGAAACTTTGCAGGAAAGAGACAAGTTTTTGCTTTCTGCTCTTCAGACTAAAATGCTTAGGGTTCCCGAGACATGAAATATCGAATCTGTATGTAACACTCATCGCTAGCAACTTCAGATTTTGCATCAGAGTCTATGCATCGGCCACAAGTAATACCATTGCTCAGATAGACAAAATCAATTGATGGCCAGAAGTTTAGGTATAATCGATCACGTCACTCCAATCATAGAAATGAACGAAAAGAATGATATTCTTTTACTTGAACGTACCAAACACCCTAATCATATCCTGCACTCTCTCCTTCCTCCCCGTCAAGCCTATTCAACAGATTCTCTTCGACCCCGGAATGTTACCTGCAGAACTAAACTAGAACAAAATTTGCGTATCTTCCCAGCACGTGCCCTTAGACAATACGGAAGATAGTAATCTTCCTTGTAAACTCTGTTTGTTTGTTTGTTTTTCGAGAATTAATTCAAACTTTCTTTCTTTCTTTCTCAGTCGATGTGAAAACTTTGTTTGAAATCCAAGTAAATATCGAGCAACGATGTCTTCGAAAGCTCATTTCAGATTAAAAGCTAAATTTGATTCATGAGTGCCTTTTATTGCGCGTCCCATCGAGATTCTTAGTTTACAGATATAAACCGTGATGTACAAATATTTGACCAAACAAAAAAGAAAATTCCACAGAAAATTTAAGCAAACATGATGAATAGCCCAGGGATACATGAATTAATAAATGAATTAATTAAAATTTTCTTTCAAACAAACTTACTGACTGAATTTGGTTCCAAGATTCGCTGAAGTTTGAAGCTGCTATATTAAATGAGGAATTGTATGGGTAAAACTGTAACGAATATCCGTCAATGAGTTGAAGTCCGAAAATGCCTTCACACGGCACTTCAAAGCCTTTAGAATTGCCATCTGAAAGTTTTACAGCTTTTTAAACCAAATTCTTTCACGCTAATATTCTCAGACAATGCAAAATCTTTTCACCACAAGTCGATGTCAATCTGAAGTCCTTGGAGCTTTCTGTACATTCAAAAATCAAGCTCCGACGGCCAAAAATGTCTCTTCCAAACCACACAATTTGTTTATCAACTTCCAAGAAAATGAACGCAAATTCTCCTTTCAGATCTAAAAAAAATATCCACATTTTCTACAAAAACTCGGTTTTTATATTTTCTGGTGCAATTAAGAACAATTGTAGTTGGAAAAGAGTAATGAGCGCAATGAAACTGAAACAAAGACTGACATGTTTTTTTTTTTTTCAAAAATCTAAAACTTTTGAATTTCGAAGAAAAAAAAATAGATGGCCTTAAAGCTCTTTGAATTTGTAGAAAAAATTATGATGGACACTTGTTTTTAAATTAACCCAATTTGAGAAAACTGGATCAATAGGCAAAATTTCACTAGGATATCTGATAATTAATTTCCATTTTCGAAATTAAAAGTCGATCACGTTTTTCGGGACTTACATTTTTGCTTTTCGAAAGTGGATTTTTCCTTCCTTTCAACAAGGGAAATAAACTTAACTTAAGAAAAAATCACAAGTCAAACCGCGAAAAATCAAATAAATTTTAGGACTTTTTCCTAAATAAGAGATAAGAGTCCTCACTACGTTCATTACTCCTAATAGAAAGTCTTCTCGAAACTGAATTAAAGTGTAATAGAAAACACGGGAGTTCCATTTTTGTAAATTTCGCGATTCGGTGCCGAATAAAAAAAACATCAAATGAGTAGAAAAGGGACGCAAGGAGGATGGCCCAATTAGATGCAGAAAACAGTCAGTGAGAAGTAATTCAACTAATTGTTTGATGTGGGGAAACTTTTTCACAATTCGCTTTCACAGGAACCCTCTAGTTGTACCAATAATATCAACCAAATGGGGAAAACATACTTTTGCAGGTTGCCAAAACATCAGAATCAACACCATCTGTCAAGAGACTGAAAAAACGATCGGTATCACTTTCTGAAAAACGATCATCATCATACAGCTCCCCACAGAATAGAAGCGTATTTTTCGATCCATTAATATCTGTCAAAGGTTGGTGCACCAAAGTTTCTCCGCGAATATGAAGAACACAGGCGCACAACATTACACTTGAACTCGAAAAGACAGTTGAGACATAATCTATCGAATCAGGTCCTCGTCTCTGAAGCACACTCTTATCAAAGTCTGGAGCACTTGAGCACTGAACGGATATGCTGCAAAATATCCCGCACATAAATCTGAAACATCGTTTTCGTTCAGAATTAACTGCCGGCTACCAATTGTAGTATTTAAAAACTAAGCCGACAGACAACTGGCAAAGCGTCAATGAATGTAATATTCGCCCAAATACTACACGGTGACGGAGCGTAGAAAAAGAACCTATAGACGACTGGCCGGCGTCAGTTACCTAAATTCTACTCGTTTTTCACCCTCTCGACCTAGCCAGTTGATTTTCTGGTCTGTTTCGGGCAAGGTAAAAAGTTACCACTTTCAGGCCATCAGTCACAAGTTCAAATTCACAAGTTCAATTATGGTCTATAGGCTTCGGCCTCTATCGACCAGCTCTTTCGTCGACGTCCATTTCGTCATTCCAAAAACGATGCGTCGTACATTTCGGACCATAGTATGTCAAGTCTTGCTTTGACTATGTTGACGTTCTCGCTCGATATTATTCTTTCAGGCAATGAGTTCCAGTCGTTAATGGCTGCGATAATGAAGAAGTTTTGTCTTGCTGTTGTTTTGGTTTTCTTCGTAAAAATTTTGTACGGGTTTCCTCGGGTGTCTCTTTCATTGATCGTAAGCAGTCCTTCCGTTGCTGCGGCATCGTACATTCCATTCAAAATTTTGAAGACTTCTATCATTCTTCCGCGCTTCCTTCTATACTCCAGCGTTGGCAGTTTCAGAGCTTTCAGTCTTTCCGGGTAACTAAGTTCTTGTATGTTTGCGACCAGTCTTGTCGCCCGCCGTTGAACGTTCTCAATCATGATCTTGTCCTTTTTCAGGTATGGGTTCCAACACTGATTTGCGTATTCCATGGAGACCTATTCGTACAAGTGTGCTGCCGGACTGAAGACGTTGCTTGTGGAGTACCTGCTGATGCAAAATCGATTCTTAACGGGCGAGGAAAGAAACCCCAAGACGATAGAAGAGTTGAGAGAGGCGAATGGGGGCATACCTTTCAGACTGACTTGTGTTTGGCCTTGAGATCTGACCCAGTCGGGATGATCAGAGGCTTGGGGGAATTGGTGACCTGCGTCTACGGGTCAGCAGTGACATATGCATTCCCAGATCCACTCGTGGTGGCGTATCGAGACTCGGTGGTGCATGTGAGCCTGAGCAGTATTCTAGATGGGTCGGCACTCAACTGGTGCAGACAAGAAGACTTGAGAGCGCAGATGAGTGAGACGGTGTTTTTTGGAAATGTCAAGGATCCCGAGCTAGTGTTGTGCACTTTCAGGGGACAACTGCAGTGCTGAATGGGAGGAAAACGTGAGGGTCCCATCGAGGTCTATCCCAAGTTTTGGAACCTGAATCCAGTGACGAGGGACAAGAGGGTTGTCTTGAGAATCCCGGCGTGGTCGAGGAGTTTCGAATTCACGAAAAAGGAATTGGAAACGATACTAGAGCGGGATGTGCTACCGCTGCCGTTCCCGAGTTCCCGACGGTGAGAAGAATTACCCTGGGAATGAACAGCCCCCTGGTAGTCCCTTCCCTGCACGCGAGAGCCACGGTAGAAAGACAACAGAGAGAATTCACAAATGGCTGGGATCCTTTGTTCATTAGATACTCGGCAGTGATGTATTTCCACAAGTGTGAGATTAAGATAAATTAGTGGACTACACAAGCAAAAAAGATGCGAGGCTCGATGCCCCCGAAGTTTGAGGTCCGAGATGTCTTGAGAACACTTGAGGAGGCTGGACTCGAGAACAAGCTGCCAATTTATGACGATGGAAGATGATCGTGGTGGAGGGTAAAATGGCTCTGAGTAACGATATGAAGTTTGCCACCAGAAAGTACCGAGCGCCTTATGGTCTGGAGGATTTGGGGTTGAGGCAAGAAGGGAAAATGCTGTATGCGGCAGGACCCCTGTATGTATCCCTCACTGAGTATAAGACAACAGATCCGACGACACCTTCACCCCTCTCTATGGGAACCCCAGGAGACAGAAGGAGCCTTCCAGTGGAAAACAGATTCACTGCCGCGCTAGAGAGGGACCAGCCGAAATCAGGAGAGGGGGAGAGCATGGACGAAAACCTCAGCGAAGCTGGAGACGAAATGGAGGTGGAGAATACGCCAGACGGAGGGTCAACGAACAGAGAGTTTAGCCCCGGCACCACACGGGAGCTACTACAAGAACTAAGTGGGGACGACTGGGCAAACACGGGCACCCCACCTTTGGGATCTCCCCGGAAGAATCTTGAGCTGCTACTAACGAGTGAACCATCCAACATGGGTATGGTGCTCCTAACCGATCAAGCAAGGGAGGAGAATACCTTTGAAAGCAACAAAGACATGTTCTTGAGCATGTTGGACGAGGAGGCGTGGCGAAGTTTTCTGGACGAGTTTAACCAGAGGGTGGAAGACAAGGTGTGTGGAGTAGATGACTTTAAGGAAGAGCTGTGGAGCACGGTAGTGAAGTTTGGAGAGCCACTCCTGATCGGCACTGGACTGGACGAGAATGGGAGGAAAGGGCTGCTCGAGAAGATGATTTGTCTAAGGAAGCAGAAGCAGGACGCCGGGGCTAAACCATGTAAGGATAGCTCTACTCTAAACAAAAAAACTGATGATAAAAATGTGTCGAGGTAGATGATAAAAATAAGAATAGTAATATGATTAAAAATGCTAATATTCTTAATGCTAGAGAAGGGGGAGGCAAGAGTCGGAAAAGAGGGACCTGGACAAGGACGTTGAGTCAGTGACGGTGGTGACAACGCCCCCGAGTAAGGGAATAAGGTCTTGATAAAGAAAACGGGAGGCAGAGGATGCGAGTCCTTCGGCGGATGCGGTTTCAGAGAAAAATCTAAAAGAGACAGCTCCCCTGATTCTAGCGCGAGGGAAAACAGTGGCCTACAAGAGCTGCTCAGCACCCAGGAGGCTAACCGAAGTGCTGCGGGAAATGGAAGCCTCGACGAGTTCGGGAACAGAGGATGACTTCAAACCCCAGAAGACAAACGTGAAGAGGGCTTCGACGAGTGGACAAACGTGGAAATGGACATCCACAAGGAGTGGCTTTCGACGCAACACCAGGCCATTGGGAAGCAATTAACGTGCGATCCTCTCGAGAGAAATGCGACGAGAAATACCGCTCGGCCTTGGTGGATAGCTCTGGAGACCACGAAAGAATTGGAGAGTTGCATGAATGAGCTTGATCGCGGGGTGTCCCGCAAACGGCGACTTTGGGCTACCCTAGAGTTGGGAAACCAGTTGGGGCGGTCTTGGGAGAACCTTCTACTTGAGTACTTTGAAGATGGGATGAGAGCACCATCATCAGCATTGACATTGATGGCAAATCCTTTTGTCCGAACGGCAGGACAGTTGATGTTCACGTGGAGTTTTGCGGGAGTGGCGTTAGAGGCGTTGACACCGCACGACAAACTTAAAAGGGCGAAAAGAGTCTTCAGGTGTAACAAAAACTGGTGCAACATATTGCTCGAGACAACTCGGGATTAAGCCTAGCGAGAAGAAAATATGCCACTTGTTTCTTGAGATGGATCATGTCGGTGATAACCGACACTACTGTGCAAGTGTGCCATCAAAAAGCAAAGGGAATTAAAACCATGGAAAGGAGAGTCTCCACTGTTATCCTGAACGTATACCAGAGAAATGGAATCGAAAAAGAAGAGAGCTCAAAGCAGTCTCTAGAGAGCCATGGGAAACTTGATGAAATACGAAGAATCTACAACAAGGAATTCGAGGAGGGGCATGACGTACATCAAGAATATGCGAAACCCACAAAACGTGGAGAATATCAATATGTGCCTGGAGTGATGGGAATAGCTTACAACCCTTTCTTGGATTCGGAGGCCGGAAACGCCTACATGAGTTTTGAGGTGGCGGAACTGTTGAAGTTCTGGACGGAGACAATCATCGAGACCGATCCGACGGAGAGGGAAAGCCCAAGCCTAGGTCTGTTACCTGAGAAGATGCCAGAGGTGATCAGCGTGCCGCGCTCGAACAAGAGGTTAGAACTAAAGATGGGAAATGGAAACGACATGTTGGTCACGAATTTGAGGACTGTTTGCAAGTTGCTGAGACCCTCTTGGTGCCTCCGTCCCCACGCGAGTTTGATTGAAGAAATCACGGAGCAAGTGAGACTATCAGTAGCGAAGGATGAAGATTTGGGGAATCTGAATGTGGTGCAAAAGATAATCTTACCTCATCGAAAGGAATCGGAAGAAAAAACAAGCAAGCTGGAAAAGCTAGTAAAAAAGATTAAACCGGGTAGTTGTCTGGACCTGGTGTGTGGAGGTGGAGAGCATTCCTGTGATGGACGATCCTGCGTCAGAATACAATCTTTTCAGAAGGAGGGACTAGCCACGTGGTTTGGTGACATCACGGAGAAGGAAAAAAGTGAGGAGCAGATAGTGGCTGAATGCTACGCAAGCACCACTGTGAACATAGCCACGGCATTGGGATTCTTTCGAGGATATGCAGCCTGCAATCACTGGAGATGCTAGAATCCGAACACCAATTGGTAACGGCGTTGAGCGTGGAGTCATGACCTGTAGTGTTGCAAATGGTCCAAAAACACATCAGAGGATGGAAGATTGGTCTTGAGGCAGAGATGGGGTTTCCCGTGAGTGAAGCCTACAGTTTGCCGACGAATGCGAAATCTCTGGTGGGATCGGTAAAGGCCAATCTGTGTGGAAGCCACTACCAATTAGATGTGGCGATGGTGGAAGCATCCAGTCAGAGGGTGTTAATTGACAAAGCCTTCTCGATAACCAACAGTGAACGACTGGCTCGAATGTCGCATCACTCACACAGACTCTTGAGGAAGATCCTGGGCGCTGTGCCGGAGGATCAAATAGAAAATTTGAGTGAGGTCTGGTGGAGGAACCCCTGAGCTTAGAAAGCGAAAACATGAGTGATTTCGAGAGACAGAACACGATCGGCAATGCGATGAATAGTGCCCAGCTATGGAAGAAATTGACGTAACACATGAGAAGATGATGGAGTTTGAACCTCTATTGGAAACCTCGGGAGAACGCGACCTCCGGAGTATCAATCTGACACATGGGGAATGCCCATGCCACTGCCTGGCACAGACAGTGTGGTATCCGGAGCATTCGAACCTCTGCTTGATATGGGACGTGGAAGAAATTCGGTCAGTCGGGTTACCCGACCAAAAACAGAAGGTCACCCTTTCCGTGGTGAGCTCGATGCTGGCATTGCGATGGATCGGGGAAAACGTGACGAAAAATCAGGAGTCGAGGGCACCAACAGCAGAATCAATACATGCCATTGATTGTAACCGGAGGCTTGAGTTGTTTGAGACTGCGTGCAAAGTGTTCTCTATACCTATGGAGGTGAGGCACGTGTGAAATCGCATAAGATTCTTCCCATGGTTTCGAGCGACGTTGACGTCTTGGTTATACACGGTGACGAAGGCTCACATGAAGAAAAATCAGAAGGAGTATCGACATTTCCTGGCCGAGATAGGACCGGAAGCTTTCAAGAGACCCTTAATAACCTATCGCAATGCGATAACCACGGGTTAGAAAAGAGTTGGTATAGTGTCTCGAGATAACACCAAAGCGAGGGAATCGATTTTAGAGGATGACTTGGCGAAGAACGTGAGCCTGAGTTTGCACAATTCCTTTTGCAGGAATAGGGATTCTTAAGTGAAGGGTCTGCCAAATCAGGCGAAAATACTTCAAGAGCAAATGGAACGGTTGTGGGCCTACGAACAGCTGAAGGCATGGGAAGAGATCGTAATCAGTTTCGTTGACGAAGAAGAACTGGCAAGGCAGATTACGATGTCGAATTTGTAAGGACCCAGTACCTCGAAGACAAGGAGCACGAATTGAAGAGG